TCATTTTACTGTTATCGATATTTGTCCAGGGTTCGAAAATTAGGCATGGAATTGTGCTAATTGTGACTAATTCAAACTACCCTCACTACAACATTTAGCGATCGGTCTTTTTCGCTGTGAATCCATGATTTTCCACCCACTCTAAATTCTAATGAATGTCAGAGTATATTATAACAATATAGGACTCTATAAATATTCTCTATAACTTACATGTAATGTGCGCAGAGAGCTCGTTTACATTCAGTGATACACTGCTTGCTTCTGATTTTAAATTTTGACCTTGAATTTATAAAATGTTATGGGTCACTTGGTGTGTGAATTTTTCTAGCATCTTGCCTAAAAACTTAAAAAGTTAGTCGTGACCGACGATCGAATCTCTTCAGGAACCGATCTCATCCAAACAGTTGGAGTAGAAGAAGTGTATTTTAACTGCAAACAGATCTATTATTGTCTCCTATATGCCTGGTAAAAAGTCTAGGTTTTGAAACCTAGAAGAAGTGAGGCATATATTAACCCCTGATAATACTGTACTCATATCTATGTATACATGATCAATAATACCAATCTGTAACACAGGGTACTGAATTTGACGGTAGACATTGATATTATGAATTATAATGCGTTTTATTAGATCAGTGTTCAAACGTACAGTTACATACAAAAGGTTACAAAGAATTTTCATGGCCACAGGTTATGTATAGATTCAAAACACCAAACAAATCACAAACATAACACAGTCCGGTTGTATACTATAAAGATTTGAAGACTTTTTCAATTAATTCCTAGTCCAGCTTCTACTTTGAAAAGAAACTGTAACAGTTGAGTTGCATTAGTTGGTATTCCGCACTGCTCCAGTTCACATGTGTGCAGTACGTGTGCTCGCTTGTTCACAGAGCCAAGCTGATCTTACATGTGAGTCTGACAGTTCGAGATGTACTTTCTGCTTACATCTGTACGACATCTCCATAGAGTTATTATGCATTGCCATGTGTTATTATGGAGCTAACTCTTCACATCAAATGTTACATTTAAATGATTTTTTCTTTCGTATTTTTCTTCTTTGTTATCTCTCCCGTGTGAGTTCTCATGTGTGTCTTCACATTATCCAAACGGGAGAAGGCAGCATCACACAGATCGCACTTATACGGTTTCTCTCTCGTGTGGGTTCTCATGTGTGTCTTCAGTGCACACAAGTGTGAAAATGCAGCATCACACAGTTCGCACTTACACGGTTTCTCTCCCGTATGAGTTCTCATGTGTGTCTTCAGTGTACCCGATTGTGCAAAGGTAGCATTACACAGATCGCACTTGTAGGGTTTCTCTCCCGTGTGAGTTCTCATGTGTGTCTTCAGGTCACCCGAATGAGCAAAGGCAGCATCACATAGATCGCACTTGTACGGTTTCTCTCCCGTGTGAGTTCTCATGTGTGTCTTCAGGTCACCCGAATGAGCAAAGGCACCATCACACAGATCGCACTTGTACGGTTTCTCTCCCGTGTGAGTTCTCATGTGTGTCTTCAGGTCACCCGAATGAGCAAAGGCACCATCACACAGATCGCACTTGTACGGTTTCTCTCCCGTGTGAGTTCTCATGTGTGTCTTCAGGTCACCCGAATGAGCAAAGGCAGCATCACATAGATCGCACTTGTACGGTTTCTCTCCCGTGTGAGTTCTCATGTGTGTCTTCAGATAACTTGATTGTGCGAAGGTAGCATCACACAGAGCGCACTTAT